CTGCACATGATAAACAATTCTCAGCATGTTCATTGATCGTTAAGATGGGGAATCTGATTAATTGATGCAATTAAGGTGGACGTCACTGTAAATGCCAGCATCAGTGTGAATGCTTGGCTCAGGTTGTTGCCTCCATGATGGGGAGTGTTTCCTCCAGTGCAGAGATATTGATTTGGTATCTTTTGAAAGTCGTCAGCTCACCCAACCGCAGGGCCGGATCAAACAGGTAATTGCTTTTTCAACAGGTCTGAGATAGCACGATATAAACCCTTAAAAGATGCAAAGCGTCAGCTACTGACAGCCGCACATGAAATGAGAATGTGATGTAATTTAGGGGCAAAATGTTTTTGCAATATTTTTAACACTCAAACATTCCTTTTTTTTGTGATTAAATGTTAGGTCGGTGGCTATTTCACAGCAACTGATCTGGTGCTGCAGTACACGTTTAGGCAGCTTGGGTGTGTGCGTGCAAGGCAATCACGCGTGCACGAAAAAGAAAAAGATACCTAATCTGCATGTCTGTTAGACTTGATGTCTATATTGTTATGTTCAATAAAATACGTGGAGTCGGACTCTGTGCTCACTGTCGTTTATTCTCAGGAGACACACTTTATATCGCAACGCTTTTCGGCAACTGCCTGCTTTACGGTCGTGACGTCACGCCGTCGCAACATTACCCAATGGCTGTGGTTACATGCCACATTCACCCCCCCTTTTTTTAAAGTGCAAAACATATTAATAGCACACAACTTTAAGGCCAGAACGTGGCCAACCTATCTGGGTAAACAGGGTAGACTACCTGTTTACCTGCATAGTCATGTGGTTTATTATGCCACATAACAGACTATGCGCTAACCTAAGCCTGAATTAAGGACATAGTCCTTGAGGTACAGGGGCTGTCGACGAGCCCGAACAGGGCGGAGCCTCGGTCCGAGGGCGTCACCTGGCACCTCGGGTTCGGGTGGAATTCCCGGGGTTACCGGAGGGAAATCCCAGTCCCCAGCAGTGTGGCGCGGATCAGCCGCGGTGGCCAGTTCTTGTGCCGACGGTGGGTTGACGCGCCTCAGGCGGCTGGCATGCCAACGGGAGCCGTCAGCCAGGCGGAACGTAGCTGGGCCCAATTGTGCTATTATCTGTTGGGGTGAGGACCAGAGGGACAGCAGCTTGTGGGACCGATGGGGCCGGCGGATACGGACCCAGTCCGTCACCTTGAGCGTGTGTCCTCTCACCCGATGCGCTCTGTCATAGCGGTGCTTCATCCGGCGTTGCGTCTCTGCCACCATGTCGCCGACAGAGGGCCCTGCTGCTGGAGGGCCTGGAGGATCTTCCCTGGGAGGCCGCAGCCGATCCATGGGAAGTTGGAGTTCCCGTCCTAGCATCAGAAGGGCTGGGGAGCTACCTGTTGTGGCATGTGGCGTAGCTCTGTAGTGCAGCAGTGTGTTCTGTAGGGCCTTGCCGAATGGGAGACCTTCGGTCAGATGTGCTCTCAGGCCGTTCTTGAGGGTCTGGTTGAACCTTTCCACCCCCCCGTTGGCCTGCGGGTGGTACAGGGCCGTCCTGATGTGCTTAATCCCCCTCTCCCCTGTGAAAGCAGCGAAGTCAGCCGAGAGGAACTGGGGCCCGTTGTCCGTGGTAACGGCGTCTGGCACACCCCAGCGGGCAAACAGGGAGGAAAGAAAGTCAGTGATCTGTTGTGTGGTTACTGACCCCACGGGAAGGACCTCCGGCCACTTGGAGTGGAGGTCATAGGCCACCAACAGGAACCGCTGGTGATGAGGAGTGCCATGAAGCTCCCCACAGATGTCCACCTGGATGTGGGACCACGGCGTCGCTGGCCACTGGAGGGGCTGCAAAGGAGGCGTCGGGGGCGGGCCCGTTTTACCGCTGGCAAGGCAGGCGGTGCAGTCCTTCACCATCACTTCAATGTCTCTATCGATGCCGGGCCACCAAACCAGGCTCCTGCAGCGCTGCTTTACTCTCACGATGCCCAGGTGACCGTCGTGTGCCATGTTCAGGATGCGTGGTCGTAGAGAGCTGGGGATCACCGTGCAGAGCCCCCGAGCGACGCAGTCTCCATTCCAGCAGGAAAGGTCGTCTCTGACCCGGTGGAAGGGCGCCAGCTCCTCTGGCACCTTTGCAGGCCAGCCCTCCTGGATGAACGTGCGGAGCTGTACGAGCACAGGGTCCTGTGCAGAGGCCGCCTGGAGCTCCTGCAGGGAGACGGTTGTTCGGAGGGGGTCGTGCAGCATGAGGATCAGCTCTGACTCTGAGCCGTCCGGGGCGGTGTCTGGCGCTGGGGTGGGCGTGGCCCTGGAGAGTAGATCAGCCACAACGTTATCTCTGCCGGGTGTGAACACTGTCGTGAAGTTGTAGGCTTGTAGTCTCTCTGACCACCGGTACAGGCGCAGCGGTTTGTGTCCCGACCCTGTCGTGGCCAGGAGGGCGGTGAGTGCTTGGTGGTCAGTCCGGAGCGTGAAGTGCCGCCCGTAGAGGTACATGTGCCACCGCTCACAGGCCCAGACGCAGGCCAGCGCTTCTCTCTCCCCCACCGAATACCTCTGCTCTGTGGGAGTCAGAGATCGTGAGGCAAATGCCACGGGACGTTCGGTCCCCCCGTGTAGTTGGGACAGGACCGCCCCCACCGCCGTGTTGGACGCGTCGCAGGTCACCAGCGTAGGGCTCTGGAGGTCGAAGTGGGCGAGCACTGGAGGGGAGGTAAGCTGAGTCTTCAACTGGCGGACCGCCGCGGAGCACGCGGGTGTCCAGGACCAGGGGGCATCCTGTTTGAGGAGCGCGCGTAGCGGCGCCGTGGTCTCGGAGTAGTGTGGGAGAAAACGCAGGTAGAACGCAGTCATGCCCAGGAAGGAGGACAGCTGTGCGGGGCAGGTGGGCTCAGGCAGGCGTAGGATGGCTTCTACATTTGAGTGGAGTGGACTGAGGCCGTCAGCGTTCAGGCGAAAGCCCACAAACTCGATGACCGGCGCGGAGAAAATGCATTTCTCGCCGTTTAGCGTGAGGTTGTGGTGGGAGAGCACCTCAAGCACCCTGGTGAGGCGCTCGTCGTGTGAGGCTGCCGTCGCGCCGTGCACCACTATGTCGTCCAGGTACACGACCACGCCAGGGATGCCGGCGAAGATGGTGGCCATGATTTTCTGGAAGCAGCTGGGGGCGGAGCTAAGTCCAAAAGGCATGCGGGTGTACCTGAACACGCCCATGTGCGACACAAAAGCGGTGAGGTTGCGGCTCCCTGGGTGCAGTGGAACCTGCAGGTAACCCTGACGGAGGTCGAGCTTGGAGAAGACTGTGGAGCCGTGAAACTTGGCCGAGAGCTCTTCCGTCGTGGGCAGAGGGTATTTATCAGGTATCACTGCTTTGTTCACCTGTCTGAGATCGATGCAGGGGCGAAGGCCACCCGCCTTCTTCCGTGCCACCACCAGGTTGGAGATCCATGGCGATGCGTCCACCCGTTCAATGATTCCCGCGTCCAGAAGCTTCTGCAGCTCGGCTGTAACATCAGCTCGTAGGGCGAGGGGCAGACGGCGGAGAGGCTGGATGACTGGGGTCACCTCCGGGTTCAGGAGCGGCTGGTGGTTGAAGGCGGTGAGGCAGCCTAGTCCAGCGAACAGCGAGGGCCAGCGGTGCAGCCAGGGCGCGGCAACAGTCAGTATGGTTGTACCCATGTTGTCGGTAATGGAGAAACCCAGGGCACAGAACAGGTCGAAACCAAGGAGGTTGGCGCCCTTGCGGGACACCTGAAAGGTGAAAGCTGGGAGGGCCAAGGGTGCTGGCGGCTCGCCAGGCAGGGCGAGGAACGGAGGAAGAGGCGAGAGTGGAAGCTCCATTCTCGTCGCCAATGTTATGTTCAATAAAATACGTGGAGTCGGACTCTGTGCTCACTGTCGTTTATTCTCAGGAGACACACTTTATATCGCAACGCTTTTCGGCAACTGCCTGCTTTACGGTCGTGACGTCACGCCGTCGCAACATTACCCAATGGCTGTGGTTACATGCCACATATATGACACCAGAATTCCCCACTCAGCAATGGGAAGTCCGAGACTTGTTTCATTCAGCGAAATCTAATGTTCTTGAAAAATATGTTTGATTTTCATCGTCTTGCTTTCATTCTGTGACTTTTAAATGTGTCATTTTAGTGTCATTTGTTTCTCTTTTCATTTATCCTGTCTTTATATTGGGGTTCGTCTTAATTTTCATCTTTTTGTATCTGCAAAACGCATAGGAGAGCATTGAAACTGTTTCCTTGAAGTGTGAGGCGGGGTTAATCACTAGTACACTGTGCTGACTTCTTGTTGTTGTGCTTTAAAAAGGTCGAGTTTGTCCTAACTACGTTTACTGTTCAAGTCAAATGAAATATTTATAAGAATGTTTCACAACAACAAAACCCTCCTAACAGCCTACTCGATTAACAGTGCGTGATTGTTTTAGCTTCATTTCTTCATCATACCTTGACTGGACAGAGAGAGAGAGAGAGAGAGAGAGAGAGAGAGAGAGAGAGAGAGAGAGAGAGAGAGAGAGAGAGAGAGAGAGAGAGAGCGTAGAGTGGGAAGCCAAACTTATTGAACAATAATTACGTCTTTCGTGAATTGCGGATGAATTGCACTTGTCTGTTGCACCTCCAGGCAATTGCAGCAGTATTGACTGGACGCTTCAATTATTTACAAATTCTGCATACCAGGTGAATATCCCGAAGGTTTAAGTGTAGGTCTGATCATTTGAATGAATCTTTGGATAGACAGAACGTGAGCGCACACAATAAGGAAGTCATCAAGTTTGTATGGAAAGAAACGTGAGGCTTTTAAAAGTCTTAAACTTAGTCCGGTAACATTTTTCATTGAAAATCTCAGCGAAGGTGAGAGATTGAACGTTGATGGAATATTTCTCAATGGGAAGTCACTTAGAGGATTGGTTGGGATGACGTACATGGAGTGTGGAATGATGGGGGAATGAGCTCGAGCGGCGGGCACACTATGCCAGAAGGTGGATGGTTGACTGGCTGGGTGGTGATGGGGGACAATGATCAAGTAGTGTGAGGAATGAGAGGAGAGAGTCATCAAGTACTCGTCGTCATTTGTAGTGTCGGGGAGTACGTGAAGGGGGCTCAGCGAATCGATTCACTGGTGAGGCTTTTTTCGCGGTGGGTGCACTTGATCCGTGGCTTTTAGCGCATAAGGAGACTCCGTGGGCGCAGATGTGGCCAAGACTTTGCGAGAGATATTAAAGCTCCATCAAGACATGGGTGAGTCCGGTTTAATTATTTTATCTTCATCCATCCATTTTCTGTATTTTACCTTTATTTAAAATCAAAATAAAATGGAAAAAAAAAGAACTTGGAGAGGGCATTACTTCGTTTCGCATAATTCAATTATCCCTAAATCGCTGCGTTCATCGGCTGCTGTCAAAGGCAGAGCACTGAGAATTATTTGCAAGTTCTGTATTACAAATTGGGCATTAATTAAGAGAAAATGAACTGCATCTAAAACAGCCCAATCTACTAAAACGGCAACACGTGAATATGCGCATACAATTCGCATTATTACACTCATGTATATTCAAGCATTTCTGAAAACATTTCGATTTTTTTCTTGCTAGATTTAGAGGATTCCATAAGGTGAAATCCACTGACCACAACATTATAGGTACATCTGCAATATCAAACAACAGGAATATATGGAGTACCCCAACCCCTTCCTCTTAAAGAGGCCATGCAGGGACCACACTCCTCGGCCACTATGGTCGCTGTACGATCTCATACAAGTCAGTGGAGCAGCGAAAAAAATACTTATATATTAATAATCACATAAATTTTGAATAGTACACTACGGTTACTGTTTATTCATTATGAATGAGTGGTGTAGATCTGAAAGCATCATACACACTGCTGTTTATGGTTACACTAATATGTCTATTTTTACTATGAGTTGATATAATATAGTCAGACGGGTGCCCAGATTCTGTTGTTTTGCGCTCTTAAAAGTCTCACAAGCATTCTCACATTTGCGTTAATGAAGTGACGTGCAGGGATTCTTATTGGAAATGATTTTTAATTCTAAAAATGTACTTTATGGCTCAGTGCCCGGCAAAGTCTAATGATGGCCTTGAGTCCGGCTCTCTCATTTTTAAGGACTCTTTAGTGAATGACTGTCAGCCAATGAACAGCAGCCACTGCGTACCCAGGAAGTGGTGATTGCAACTGAGTCAGACTGGATGTTTACTCTTCCACTTAAAAATAACTGCAGCCATGGAGTGACCATATGCCTCAAAATGTCCTTGGCATTACTGTGAATCGCAGTGCCTGCTCATTAGCAGCTATATTTTGTAGTGTGTCTTAAGTTCACTAATTTGCTCTCTAACATTTTGTGGGCTTATAAAATGGAAGCCCTTTGATTGGATAAACTCTGTGGGCTACCTGTCGAGTGATTTGCTGAAAGAAAAATTTAAAAAATAATGTAAATAATCAATTTGCGGGCAGATTAGTCACCAATGAAAGAGCGCTAAGAACCAATCAAAAGCAAGCCGCCGCGTAAGTAGCCAATCAGGATGCCAGCAGCCGCGATTTGTGAGGAAAAAGATCGAATTTTTTTTTTTAATGTAAACACTTTAGTTATTTTTTTCCCAAAAGCGTAGTAATAATAACAAGAATAATATGAAATAGACACAAACACTATGAACAGCAGCAAGGTTGCCACATCTGCCTCAGAGTTCTTCGGTTGGAATCTCAACGTGGCCAATTTTCCGGGCGGAAGCAGACATCGCCAACCAGGGCACCAGCAAACGTCATTGTGGTTAGAAACAAATTATTTGATGATTAGATTTTATTTAAAAATAGACAGATTAAAATATAATACCACTATTTACAATAATACAAATACCCGTTATAATTTAGTTCATTTTGCAAACGATTAAAACATATATATATATATATATATATATATATCAAACTGGATGCAATAGGCTCATCTTAAATCTTAACACTCAAGAAATGGGCTCGCTTTAATAAAACGGAACACTCGAACATAAGCAAAGCAATCCTGGTTGCATGCATGGACTATTACCTCAAAATGATTTCCTTCAGTTTGGTAAATGCCATGCGTTGTATAAATATAGACCAAAAAATTTCATTGCAACCGGCTCCAGTGGGGTTTTATTTCAAATGCATACATTCCACAATGACTGTGGTGAAACTGTCTTGTGAAATGCCACAGTGGACAAGCATTTACATATGACTTTTATAATCTCCTCGAAGGCAATGCACATCTCAGCCGACACATACATCTTTGGGGTCGTGTGGGTGGAAGAGGTGCTGAGCTGCTGGTTCCGAATGACCTCTGGATGCAAGCTGTGCCACACCTTCATTGAGGCGAGCACACAGCAGAACTTATCAGCGACGCGGAATCCATCAAACACTCCAAAGAGCCTTCTGTGCACTATTGAGCAGAGATTTGCGGCAAAATGTCAGTGGTTAATAGTGCGGCGAGGAGGGGAGAGCGGCAGAGAGACGAGAGGACTACATGATGCTTTCACCTCTCACCATTTATAGATTGTCTGATTTTAACAATCTCAAATGATTTCACGACAAAGAAGCCACAGCGGTGATTCATGTGTGCCTTGGGTTATTATAATTTCTGTACCTCTCTCTTCGATGTATGAGACTATGTCATCACTTTTCCAGATATTTTTCTGTTGTGCTGCGTTTTACATATGGGATGTTTCCCAGATCAACCGAGGGGGAAAAAAAGAAACTGCATATCAGTTTTAACAATTGTTTCTTTAATCTGCAACTTTGGGTCGTGTTTTGTTGATATGAACAGAAAGAAGTCACACAGATCTGCCAGGCTGAGCCTTAAACATTGCCACTTCTACATGGCGATGAAGGTTTTGACTCACAGAAAGAAAGTGAGGAAAACAATGCAAAAAAAGACAAAACAAGGATGGCTGCCTTTGTTTTCTGATGAATGTCAGTTTTAATTTCCTATTTCTTTTCATAGGTTCTGGATGCTGCAACTGTTCCATGCCTGCTGTATTCACACTGCAATTAATCCAGCAGTCAACAGCAGGAATCTGGAACCTGACTGCACCCACTCGCAATTGTGTCATGGACTTGAATTTTGTCTTTGAAGAGTAAAACTCTACACCTGGATTTGAAAACGACTGGACTGGATCGAAAAAGCTGTACACTGACTATGAGACAGTTTTTGCACCAGAGTTTTGGGCCCTCAGGGACTTTCTGATTACCATTCCCCATTCTCCTTCTGGTACCAATCACAAAAACACATCAGAGAAGTTTTAGGAATTGCACCTTCAACTGAACTCAATTTTATTAGACCGAAACCGTACAACAAACACGACAACAAAGGGATGAGATACAAAAACTGTGTCCCGCACAGTCAGCCTATCCAATGGCAGCTCCATATCAGTTACAGGTACCTTAAATTTCGCATCACCTTTCCCAAGGGTGCTCCCAACTGGGCCATCCCACTTCTGACATCATTTGTCACAGAACTCCACCTTTCGGAGCTCATCCAACATGTTTAGATGAGTGCATACTGACATGTCCAGAGAGGATTTTTGAGAAAATGTGCAGTGTAGCATTCATTTGAACTGATTTTCAATATGGAACATGAACACTTTTCAAGTAGGAATTACACTCATGGATATATTAAGCTCCTCTCATTGTGTTGCCGCATACATCATGTGATTGCAACATAATGGGTCATTCAGCAGCAACATCTTTCACACTGTGTATTGTCAAGGCTGACTACTTCCATTTATGACATGTGCTAATGTCCTCCTCCACCTGGGGTGAAATCTAAAACAAAAGCTGTGCGCTGTGGTCCAACAGAGGCTGCCTACAAACTCTGCTCGGCATCATTGTGGTACTGGCACAGATGGTGCCTGTGCTGCACAAAATGACACCTGCTCATCTGACTCAAAACTGCTCCAACTGCAGCCAGGTGCTGACTCCGGAACTCAGTGTGGTCAAGGCTGTTGTTCTGGGCTTGGTGCTGGGCGTCTTCATCGTGTTTGGAGTAGTTGGGAACATCCTGGTTATCCTCTCAGTAGTTTGCCACAGACACCTGCGTACAGTGACTCATTATTTCATCGTTAATCTTGCGGTAGCAGACCTGCTTCTGAGCTCTACGGTACTACCCTTCTCTGCCATATTTGAGATCCTGGACCGGTGGGTGTTTGGACGGATCTTTTGCAATGTTTGGGCAGCTGTTGATGTGCTCTGCTGCACAGCCTCAATAATGAGCCTGTGTGTGATATCTGTGGATCGCTACATTGGGGTCAGCTACCCGCTACGTCATCCAGCTATAATGACAAAGCGCAGGGCCCTGCTGGCTGTCATGCTGCTGTGGGTGCTGTCAGTCATCATATCCATCGGCCCTCTGTTTGGCTGGAAGGAGCCGGCCCCGGATGACGAATCCATCTGCAAGATCACGGAGGAGCCGGCCTACGCTATCTTCTCCGCTGTGGGCTCCTTCTACCTCCCCCTGGCCATCATCCTGGCAATGTACTGCAGGGTGTATGTGGTGGCCCACAAAGAGAGCCAGGGCCTGAGGGAGGGTCACAAGACAGAGAAGTTGGATTCAGAGTTTGTTATCCTCAGGATCCATCGAGGCAACACAACTGCAAGTGACGACGAGGCCCTTCGCAGTCGTACGCATTTTGCCCTGCGATTGCTCAAGTTCTCACGGGAGAAAAAGGCCGCCAAGACGTTGGGCATTGTCGTGGGCTGCTTTGTACTGTGCTGGCTGCCTTTCTTCCTGGTCCTCCCCATCAGTGAGTATCATCTTGTCTTTGCTTCAGTGCTATTCTTATTCATAAACTGTCAGCTCTCTTCAAAAGTTTTTGCGTGTTGTTCTGCCACATCTCTTCACTGGTGATAGGATTAGGTACGCCATAACATAACCTAATAATCATCTAACATGATCCAACGCTGGCTATATCGGCAGTGAATTCAGTGGAGACGACTTGAGGCAACAAGCAGATGACACCCTGCACGAGTCACCAGTCAGTCACAGCGCACATAAAGAGACAAGACAATCACATTCAATAACCATGCATTGTTTTATATCCCTGGGAGCGTTTTAAGAACTAACAGACTTAAAAGTTCAATGACGGCAATTCAAATGCCTCCTCTAGGACAATAAAATCCACATGCACGGAAGCTGCATAACCTCTACACCTACAACGCTGTTAACCTGGCCAGAGAGACGCATCATAAATAGGCTCTATGCAAATCTTTGAGATAGCTGACAGCTCCAAGCGTATCCTTGTCTGTCAACAATAGCTCCGAATGTGAGAGCAATATCTTTCACATGCATGCGGCTCCATGATTGAAATGACAATCCAGCGTCCTCTGACCCTTGTGTCTGTGGATCATTTTAATCAGAATTTTAGATACAGACAGGCAGAGCCATCAAACCCATATCAGACTTTATTAATGTCCACTTACTTAATGGAGACAAGCCTCAGGGAAAATCACACATATCACCAGCCTTGCATAGCAGACCGGATGTGCAGGGGTGAGACCAGTGAAAGAAAAAAATTGAATTAATTAGCAAAGGAATTCGATGACTGATGGAAGCTATAACAAACCGTCAAAGGTTTAAAGGCCTTTTTGGAAACACAATTTCCTTTTGCAGTTAAGACAGTAATGGCAGCTGTTGAAATTATTTAACAGCATTTCTCACACAAAATATTTCTTCTTTTGTAATCTTCCCAAGGCCATTTCCTTTTGCAGTTTCTTACGATTATATCCTGCATTGTAGGAGACCGATTATTTAACAATGCGTTTCTTATTGTAATCGTCATTTGTAGTGATGGTGAACTATACTCCATCATTCTGACAGTTTTATTTTTTTTGCCATGTCATTTATTTACAGTGCACAGATGTCAAACTCCGTTCCTTGGGGGCCGCTGTAATGCAAGTTTTAGAGGTTTCCCTCCTCCAGTTTACCTGAGTCAAATGATCAGGACTGTTATCAGGCTCCTGCAGAGCTGATCATTTCAATCAGGTGTGTTGGAGGAGGGAAACCTCTAAAACATGCAGGATAGCGGCCTTCGAGGACAGGATTTGGTGGCCCCTTGTTTTTAATTTGTCCATTTCATGCTATGGGCAGTGGATGGCTATAGTGGGAATATGTAACAATGTAACAGGAGTTACTAATGGTGTGTGAAACAATATAACGTGACATGACCCTGCAATACTTGTTTTAGTCCATTTTAAATGCAAACTAAACATGCTGATACGATCCGCTTCTTTGATCTGAAGTGCCATGATGAAGCAGTCATTTTGACTTGGCACAGTAGAAAACAGCAAAATATCCATCCATCTATCCAATTTCTGATCCGCTTATCCTCACAAGGGTCGCGGGCCATGCTGGAATCTATCGCAGCTGTTTTCGGGCAGTAGGCAGAGGACACCCTGAATTTGTTGCCATCCAATCGCAGGGCACACATGAACAAACAACCATCAATGCTCACACTCACACTCACACCAAGGGACAATTTAGAGTGTTCCATCAACCTGCCACGCATGATTTTGGAATGTGGGAGGAAACCTGAGTGCCCGGTGAAAACCCACGCAGGCACAGAGAGAACATACAAACTCCACACAGGGAGGCCGGAGCCAGAATCGAACCTTGCGCCTCTGCACTGTGAGGCAGACACATTAACCAGTCGACCACCGAGCCGCCCAACAGCAAAATAAATTGTTTTATTTCTGAGATATCAATGAATTTGTGAACCTGTCGGATTTACTGCATGTCTACACCGTTATTATGCTTGTATAAAGACAAGAGTGTAACGGGTTTAATGAGTAGTTAGGATCATTAAGGGGCAACACATTGTGCAATACACAGGATTTTTATGAAACTATTGGTCTTTACTGTCATGCACTTTTGGCTATACCGTTATGCAAGAAAGGTATTTCAGCGGACGAGCATGGGAGATATTTACATAATCAGTGTAAAACCAACGTGGTATACATTTTTTTTTTTTTTTTTACACGTCTCCGGTTGTTGAACAGATTCCATGAAAATGAACCACCTACCTTTGGTGGCATTTTTATTTGGGGGTGTGCTGTGAGACTTTTCAAAAGTAAAACCTCTACTGGCTCAATACATTTTGGGGGTAAACTGCTACAGTGAAACTCCTCTAGAACGAAACCTGCATGGGCGAAAATACCCCCTTATGTGAAAAAATCTTCATGCATTAACACAATTCCCATTCTCCTGCCCCCCATACGACGAAAAACCCCCTGTTGCGTTATACGAAATCATTTTGTCTGCTCCAGCCTCGCGAAGACATTCACTACAACGAAGTCTTATCCAACAGCGACCTCTACTGCTTCGTTCGAAAAAAGGCAACAGCAACCACCACACTGGTTTACATAGTGAACGATGTTTATTTCGGTCACAGCTGCGAGTTTCCTGGGCTCAACATACTCATAGCTGCTCTGCTATTGGCTTACCGAGCATCATCCTGGCCTCCGATTGGCCAAGAGGCCACATAGACCTCACTGTCTATGTGTGTAGATACTGAAGCTAGATCCGTAGCATCCGATTAGCTGCTCAGAGTAAATTGCTTATGGCTCGACGGACATTTACTTTACTTTTTATCATGCTAAAAACACCCACGGGACGCTTCGTAGTCCTCGATGGCCATAGTTAGCTCTCGAAGGCTAAAAACCTTACGCTAACTGGAGCGCTTCTCTCTCATTAGCGCTCCAGTTAGCGTAAGGTTTTTAGCCTTCGAGAGCTAACTATGGCCATCGAGGACTACGAAGCGCCCCGTGGCTGGCTTAAAAGTTCATTGCATGCCAGGAAGTATTTGTTATTGTTAGATTCAGACGAGGATGGACGTTGCATTGCTAAAATGGCTACAAAACGGACCTTTTGATGTCAAGCAGCTAAGACAAGAAGAGCTCTGATGCTGGAAGAGAGGGTAAAAGTGATCAAAATGAAAGACGGAGCAAGCAAAATAAAAGACATTTTCCAAGAAATTGATGTAAGTGAAAGTGAATGCTGATCGTAAATTTCGCAATTTCTTTCCCTTTTTTTCTTTCTACACTGACAATATGAAGTGTCAAATAAGTGTGTGCTCATACTTATGTACTATTGGAATAAAAATAGAGTACACAAACGTTTGTGTGTGCGTGTACACATACGTTTGTGTGTGTGGGTGTGTGTGTGCTTACATCTAAGATCAAATTTGCTACAATGAAAAACCCCCTGTTGTGAAAAATTTCTTGCTGCAAACATGATTTCGTTGTAGAGGAGTTTCACTGTATAATCATCCAAATATATGGTTAAAAATAGAAAATGAAAATAAATGAACAAATGACCGTGACAAATCTCTCCCAACAAACCATTTCTGAAGTGATGGTTTGAACTAGAAGAGGAGTGAGAAACTTTTTTGCGAAGAGCTTTTCCTGCACCCAAATCCCAACATCATCACCCACAAGTACAATAAACCTCTATCTGCAGTCTGGGAGAACACATTTTTCCTTCCTCGCTCCTCGAATAATCTCAAATTATCAATAGGATCTTCGAAAGGGGGGAGCTTCTATTACACCGGAGTACAGAGGAGTAATATTCATTAAAAAAAACAACAACAAAAACCCGAATAAGATTTACCCATAATGTGCAATAAACCTCCACATTTTAAAGTCATGTATTGTGCACATATTTGATCTCATGCTATTACAACACAATTATTGCTATTGCTTGCATTTAAGTTTGTTCACAAATGAGAAAATAAATGATCTCGCTATTTAAATGCAGGTGTCTGCATTTTGCAAAATTTTCCAGGGCCGTCATTTGTCACCAGCCTGGGCACCTGTTCATATTGTCTTCGTATTACTTGAAATATGTTTCAATGAACTTTTTTATTCGACAATGGGGTTTTTTGGTGAAGAAAAACAACTCTGACCTAACTGACAGTTTCGGCTGTCACTTATGCCTTCGTCTGAGCTGTCACTGCTTCCTTGTGACGTATCTAAAAAAACCTTCAAAATAAGGCTCCCCGACCCCATCAAGGATGCGAACCGAGCCCCCGCTGCCGCCGAAGCATTGTGTTCCTGTTGATAGTGTCATCTCCGTGGAGGGACGAGCAGGCTAACATGCTCCCACACACCGGGGACACATTGCCTTCACGGTGGCAAGGGGCTGGAACGCAGCTTGACGAAAAAAAAAAAAAAAAAAAGATTTCGCTTAAAAAGATACAGTATGCGAGACAGTCAACAGCGTGACAAGACACAACAAGAGAAGTGATGGGTGAGGCTGCGATGATGCACAGCCAATCAGCTCACAGGATGAATTAACACGTGCTCTCATTGGTCGATGTCGCTCTGGGAACCAATCACGTGCCTTGTTTTATTGGGCATGTACAGAACCTTACATTACATGTAAAAAGGCAGTTCTTTGTTCGGCATGCAGGGAAACCTACCTCACGCATCAACATGAAACAACACGTCATTCCGCAATGTGGCTGTGTTTTTTTCATTTTTATTTTTTCCATTATTATTATTGTTTTATATTATTTTTACAGTATTTCGGAAAAAACAGCGAAGCGCTGAAGCGCAAAGTGGGGAGGGATTACTGTATAGCCAGTGGGAGCAACCCTGCTTGTATTCAAAACACATGATACAGGCGGAGCGTGTTTCTGTCATTCGTCTGTAAAATGTGCAACGCTTCAATGAGAGAATCACAGACCTTTCATCAGTACTGACGGAATGCCCACCTCTGATGAAATCAATAAATGTATTCGTTTTTACAATGTCAAAATGGCTAAAAAGTCCATTAACACACAGCACTGTATGTACTATGCTTAAAATATATACGTACTAAAGAGTTACACCATATACTGTATGCATTCTTTCATTGAAAGAATGAAGAATGCAGAATGAAAGAAATAGCAATAATCTGCAGGTTATAGTCGCATGATATCCTGACTATGCAGTACAGTATATACATATTGCAGACTACAAGGATATGACGTTATGAGGTTTGTGTTATTGCACTTCCAGAGTCAGGATAGAGGTTTATTGCACTCCAGTTATATGGGTGATTGCTTTTTGGAGTGTTTATTTATTTCTTGCAGAATTAAATAAACCCTACTCAGTAGATGTAAACAGAAACAATAAAAGAAACATTTCACATAAAGCATCTGTATTGCGTCCGGTTTGCACACTTAGTGACAGGTAATGCTAATATCAGTTAAGGACACAATGTTGGAAGTGGATGTTAAACTGTTTTTGTTTCCCAACACATTTCTATTTTGATCGTGCTGATCATATTTTTAACAGGGTGAAGACATTATCTGAGACATTGCACATGAGACGCGAAAATCTTGACAACCGGTTGCACGCAAGGCAACGATGCTTGATGAGTCTTGTCAAACCAAAAATGAAACTACCAAGAGTACAGGCAATAACAGAGGTCCTTTTTGTTTAGCCCAGCTGGGGATAAAATGATGGAACTGTACGGTGAGGCACAAAATGATTTGCTCCCAAGCTCTCTTCACCTGTCTTTCCATCTATCTCTGTATCGCAATCTCATTTTTCAAAGCCAGTGTTTGACATCTGCAGCAGCCCGTGCAATAAAGCCTTTCACACACCAGCTTCTCCCCAATGTCCTGGACACATAGTTGACAGACAAACAGACTGAAAAATCCCATAACGCACTCTGGCCTTTATACAGTATTGTCATATGGCCAAATTTCCCCAGTGCAGAGTGCATAACATTATTTTTTTCATTGTGACTACTAACATACTACATTGTCTTGTCTGAACATTTACCAAGATATTTTATTAATAATAGCCTATGCACATTACATCTATGATCCAGGGGCTATTGAGCACATCAAATTGATGAATGTGACTAAATACTGTAGTGGTTTGTCATTGTTTGCCCTGTGATTGACTGCCAAACATAAATTTGAAAACAACGTGAGACAATTCCTTAGAACCATTGTAGAAATCAATTCAATGAATGACTTATAATCATCATTATCTTAAAAATATATGAATAGGAAACCCCTGACTGTGCGGCACAACTTTAGGGGGTGGGAGTGGTATCACACACAAACGCATGGTCATGGGTGCAAGGTAGTCTCCAATCTCCCACGGCACATCATCCACAAGGGGGAATCTTGCATTCGACCTGTATAAATGCACTTTGCGCTCACCAATGTAATGCATGGACCCCGGTGAGTCGATTTCCGCTTCTGTAATGTCAAGCATGGGTGCACTTAAACCGCCCTGATTTTAATGGGTTGGCCGGGAGTTGGCTATGTTCCATCCCACAACAGCGCACAAAGGCGCAAACGCCCCCTTACATCGAATTCTACCTATGGAAAGTCTAGGAAAATACCAAAAGAAAGAAAACTCCACCCATGCGCACAGTTAGATTTTGCTTTGTGCTCGACTTGCACTGGGCATGAAAATAGGTTTCAAAATGTGGCATGAGTGGAGTTTTCTTAGTTTGCGCCATTGTGGGACTGAACACAACTGACTTGATTCCTGGCCAATTGAATTCCCTTTAAATTCAGCGCAGCAGTGCTGCGCAGCCTACATGGTGGAAAGCATAATGGACTCGCTGAAGTCTGTGCAGGAGATTTTGCGTGCAAGGTATGTTTATAAGGAACTCCAAGATCTTCACTTGCGAATGGTGTAAAATTGAATGCCTTGGAGTGGCTAGGGAGACAGCATTTCATGAAAATCGTAATAGTAATAATAATAATAACAATAATAATACATTAAAAATGGATTTCTACAATGAATCAGAAGGTTTGATGCCCGTATGCTCTAAATTATGAATGAAATATGATGACGTATCAGCGGGGCGCAGAATATATTTGCCTGTACTTGGATCAAATCCACCAAAATCACATCACAGCACCTTGGACCACAACTCAGACCTGGTTTCACTGGGACTAAAGTTTCGTCTACTTGCTGTCACCCAACTGACCAGTACGCCCTGGGCCCTTGGTCTGCCGGAAAGCCGAGTAAGGCACAGCATGATCTGCCAAATTCTCAAACATAGACTTGCCCGAGCATGAAGATGAAAATGCACTAGTTTTTTATTTGCTGATAGCATATGTGCCTGTTTACGAAAATAGGGCCCAAAGAATTACATCAGTGCGAGATTTAGTTTGCCTGTCGTTGCAGTCACGTTGACAATCACAGACCATCCTCGGTCTTGGTCGTGAGGATTTCACTTCCCTATTTGTTTATCTATTTATGGCAGCGTTTTATAGTGACAGGCAGGATAAATGGAATGCTCTTCCATTGATTAGATAGCAGAAGCTGTTTGTTTGACCTGTGTATCTACTTTTAGTGACATCGTTTTGATTGTTGTTGTGTCATGAGATTATGTCCATAGTAAAATATGCGTCTAGGTTCAATAAAGGTCAGGAAACTGCCTCTCCCCCGGAAGATTTAGAGCATGAGTCACCAACCTTTATTAAATAGGAAAGATTCTTCTTGGCTTCTGTTTAGTGCGAAGGGCTGCCAGTTTGAGAGACATGTCCGAAATATGAAAATCTGCTCAAACTTTATTCTTCTTCTTCTTCTCCTTTCGGCACGTCCCTATTCAGGGGTCACCACAGCGAGTCAGTAATTTCCATAATCTGCTCAAACTTTATTAAATTTATAAAAACTATACTGTAGTCAATTATGTGAAGATACCGATCATATTCATGATTTTCTCACAATTTGTCAGAAACGAATAAATATCAACACTTTATTTCTGTAAATCTCTGTCAGTTTTTGCATTTTCAAATGATCATTTATCCAATATTAATAGAAAATCACAATGTGCCATCATTGGTGAGCTCCAATATTTTTAGCACAGGCCTACTTTTGTGGTCCTTGGGGGTTACCTGGTGCCTGCAGGCATCACATTGATGACCCCTGATTTAGAGCATGCAGATAATCAGACCTTTGGTTTGGAAAGAGGGCAATCGTCAGTGCACATTATTAGCTTATCTAGTTGTGAACCCAAAAGTCTTGAATCAAAAAGAATGCTGCTTGATGGTCAATAAAATACCTTGCTTGATAAAAAGTGCAGTCTGAGCCTGAATTTGTCTGTTTGGTGATACTGTGGCCTTTCATGCGTTCCTACAGGCTCCATCTTCCCTGCTTACAGACCACCAGATACAGTCTTCAAGATCACCTTCTGGCTGGGCTACTTCAACAGCTGCATCAACCCCATCATTTACCCATGCTCCAACCAGGAGTTTAAAAAGGCCTTCCAGAGTTTACTGGGAGCTCACTGTCTAAAAGCTAGTCCAAGGCAGCATCATTATCAACATCATCATCATCATCAACTGGCTGTGGGCCACAGTCAAATGCACGTCCACAACCAGCCACTGACTTTGAACCTTGCTCACGTTGGGGCATCCGAGCGCCTCAGCCCCTCCTCTCCTGTTGACCGGTCCAGGACTCCGTCCTCTCGGGATAGCAGGGAGTGGAATGTTTTTTCAGATGATCCCACTGGGGGAACCAGACCAGCAGACAAAAGCAGAAAAGTGGCCAAACTTTGCAGTAAAAGCTTCCAGCGGACCTGCTGCTGCGTCCCAAGTGGTGGGAGTCCCCCGCAGGCAAATTGCACACACACCCCTCCGGTGGGAAAACTTCCCACCATTAAAATCCATCAGTTGTCCTTGTCGGATAAAGGGGAGCCTGTATAACCACTGTATTTTCACACGAGAGCATATTTATTGAACTGAGCCAGCAGTGGAGCCTTTTTTAAACTTCCACTATTTTGGGTCTAGAACTAAAATGTCACTGTTGGAGGAAGAGGCAATGATGTTTAATACTTTGAACTTTGTTTTGTGTAAATGTATCTTGTGTGCGCATTACACAGTGAACTACTGAATAACGTGACAATGTTTGTTTTGTTGCATGATTAATAATGCAGGTCAGCGGTGCTCCAGTTATCCCAAAAGTTTTCTGAAATAAATCTTGTGTACTTCCATGTCACATGACAATAAATTTGTATTTGCCGTGCAAGGTTTTCATGCTAACATTTGTGGACGCATTTATATCCAAAACAAATATTGCCCATCCAAAAGTGACGCCCCATTCATCTCTCCGCATATTCTCACAAAATATGCACAAATTGGTGCACCTCCTTCTATGCATGTGCAATACGGAAGTCTTAATACACTCATGTGGAATTTCACTGACCTTGTGGTTGCTGACCTCAATCCTGGCCCCAGCCCCCAAGCCTCTTAAAAAAAAAACACCAGATTTGAATGTCAAGATAAATAACGCACAGTCTCAGGCATTCCTGTCTCAGACTCTTCTCATCCATACATCTGTCATCCACTTGTTGCCTTTGGTCAGATGATCCATTTATGGTGATGTTTACTACTGCGATAGTTCATAACTGCAAAGCTACAGGGCAAGAGGATCTCTGCCGGCAGGGTTGATGTATTTCCTCCGGGGTGCTTTCTTGATGAGCGTGATACCGACAGTATCATGACGCCGCGCTCGCCCATCACACGTTAAGATTGCTCGTACAAGTGCAGCCGACAGTTTTCTCACACAGGGAAGCTTCTAGAGTGCTTGTCATTGGCTGGAACATCTCTGACCCCCTTAAATCACGCTATCTCTGCACACAGATGCCATTAGGGGAGACAGTAGCAGCAGCAATAAAACCGTGGATGATACCGCTGACCTAATTCTCACCTCTCTCTATTGTTCTCTGAATAGGGATTATGACCATCAACCCCTACAACAAATACCTGTGTCCTGGTACGCCATTTTCTATACGCATCAGCTTGGAATGAGTACCGTGATTCGATTTGGAGCTGTGCATGAGTCATGCAGCCAACAGGGCAGAGTTGCCAGATTATGATGAAACACTCGCCGATTCTTTAGGGGATTGAAGTTCTCCCATACCAACACATGGAAACATGCCTTTATGCAGCTCGCTTTGCGCTCGGAAGTGCAGCGCAGTCATGTTGGAACAGAAAGGGCCCAAATTGTTCCCAGTGGAAAGAGTCAGGGAAAAAATATTGCAATCCAAAATATCTCCGAAAGATGACAATTTTGGTTACCGAGTAAGATTAGAAACTTTGTCATTGCAGTGTCTCAACATATTTGCCCACTTGTTTTATGATGCTCTGCTGATGACTCATGTGGGCGAGTTCCCCAAGAGGGATCAGTTTTGTGACGTCTTCCTGAGGCAATTTATCGCCCAAAGCTATCATCCGTGGGAGGAGATGTTGGCATGAGGAACCCCCTTTCTTTTTTAATTACTTGTGTCTAGACTGGGCAATTTTCTAATAGCCCTTGGCACTCACTAAATGCATACGTTTAGTACAAAGATGCAATTGCAGTTTTTATGTTCAGCTCATTATACCTGCAGGTGAAAGGGCTGAACAGGTGGAAAACGACAGTGAAGATGTGCAGTTTATTTTTTTTCCTCTTGGTCTCCATACAGTGTCTGTATGGGGCCTACAGCACATCTCCGTATGTTGTGCAGTACTCAAGAAAAACCTGGTATGTTGTATCTAAACATACAGTACCTATTCAGCTCCCCATTTACTTCACAACTGGCTTTAATTCCGGGATGAGACGATACTGTAGGTAAAGGTGAGTCTCAAGACACCTCAATATCAGAGCAATACCTCTGAATGCAGGTGTGACTGCCCTATCATACCAATTGAGTATACTAGTTACTAGTCTACTGTTAACGTAATACCGCTCAGCCGTACGTTCAGTGTGACCAACGACCACTATTCATTACTTTGCATTAGAACTTGAGGTGAATTCAAACTAGGCCTTGCGATATGATGGTTAGTACGGCAGTTCACAGTTCTGAGGTCGTTGGCTTGAACACGGGCTTTTGGCCTTACCGTGAGCAACAGTCATTGCTATAAATTTTGGAATCAAACATTTTCATCAACCACAGTAAAAAGGTGGGGGAGAGATGGGAAAGGTGCCAGTAACAAATGTTTTATTTATATTTTACGCCACTGAAGTCAACACAGGTCAGGTTAGATGCAGAAAAGAACATTGATTTGTGCCGCGTCAAAACTTCCTACAAGATAGACATGACTGAATATCACACGAAGTGGACAACACCAGCGCTGCACGTTAGAGCTCAATAACTACTCTGAAAAACTTTGCCAAAATAATGTCATTCACTTGACATTGGTATTAAGAGGCGGACACTTGACAAGGCAATGGATGGACTTAGTGTATCTACAATTTACTGGCCACTTGCTGTGGCTCCAGTTCCAACTGGTGGCAATAAGCAAGGGAGAAGGGAGAACAGGATTTGTGGTACTTGGTTCACAACACAAACACAGAGAGAAGTGGACACGATCAGCACGTGGTAACGGTTCTCCTAAATATATAACAATCCATGTTGCAATGTTTCATCAGGTCTCAACGATCACTTGTTTCAAGAGCCTTCATAGATACAGTGTGGCTATCAATATCTTAAAGAACAAGCGGGGAACTATTTGAATTGAACGTATAACCAAAAAACAGAAACCTCCCCCGCAAAAAACGTGCAAGCTCACATACATGTGTATTATTTGGAATAGTACAGGTGCAAAAGAAATTTGTCTCACAAAGTGGCTAAATCGGTCCCTGGGCGCATATTCCAAAGCAAAGACAATTGTCGAATGATGGATGCAGAAACAGTTAACATCAACCGCACATACACACTGTAGCATTGCTCATATAGCACCAGATGGCAGAGAGCAAACCTCTGCAAATCTCCCCTCTGAACTTTGCAGTGTCTGTATCCTCAAAAGTGTTCAGCAAACATATCACAACAAGGTCGAGGAGGCAAACGATTACCACAAAGAAGTGAGAAGGAAAGGTTTGGAAAATGTGTGTGCCTTCCAAATACAGGATGAAATTGAAATGTAAGTCATCAAAACAATTTCTTTACCTTTCAGTGTATTCATTCATTGTATTACTGATTAATGTAATTTAGGACAAACCAAAACTACCGGTATTTAAAAAGGGACAGTACAACTATAACACAAAAGGAAGACCGAGCTGAGCAGCAACATTAAATGGCAGAAAAAAAAATCAACAGTCTAGTTTTCTGGTGATTAAAAATTGACTTTTGAACAAGAACAGGAATGGGATAATGCAACAATACAGTAATTGAAAATTGACTTTGGGGTCTAGTTTTAGGAAAAACTGCTGATCCTAAAATGCCCAATGTTTTAAAGATTGACTCGTGTTCCGAAATCCAGAGGACAAAGTAAAAGCTGAAACATCTAGCAACAATTTCCCTTGAATCTCTCAGATTAGGTTAAAAAAAAGTAGTGCTTTGTTTTCACGTTAAATACAACATAACAGTGAGTGACGATGGAAGATTGTTGTGCATGGCAAGCAAGGAGTGACGGGCCGCCAGTACCATGCCTCCCTGCACCTTGGTGCAGTTCGAAAACAGCTTAGCCGAGGCTGGTGATGTTGGCTTTTCCTCCAGGGGGAGCCACGATACGTTGGGTGTTACGGCGTGGAACGTTGTCGTCAATTTGGGCACCTAACAATAACAACGTTGATTAAAATCACATCCCAACTGCAAGTAAGATTTCTGTCCTACTAGGGAGGAAAGATGCAGCGAGCGGAGCTCACACACCTGACAGACTGAAGCCAGACTGGTGAAGGTTGCGCACTGGCTGCTGAATAAATTGTTGCTGCTGTTGCTGCTTGGTAGGAGAGGTCTTCACTGCAGACACTGAGGACAGAACCTTGGGAGTAAGGATCACCTCACACACCGGCCCATCATACTGGCCCCGAGGGACTCCGCGCAATTCTGTCAACTGAACATTCAAATCATTCCATCGGTGAGATGGCACTTACTACTTGTCATGTTTGAGCGGTGATTCCCAACCATTGCGCCACAGCATTCGTCACTTCAGTTAATTCAGTGCGAAATTATTTGTATCTATGTTCATCGAGCAATGCCAGCAATCTATCGTGACAGGCAGAACAATTAAATGCTCGTGCACTACTGCTACGCTTATTCTTTATATCAGTACAGTGACAGCCATTATAATCATGGTTTGGCATGTGCAAATTCACATATTTGCCATTTTTTTAAGCCCATCCACTATTTTTGTGTCATAAGAGTACTACATTGGCACCATCTTGTGGCGTCTTGGTCTCAAGGAACTACAGTATGTCTAAATCAGGGGTGTCAAATTCCGGTCCTGGAGGGCCGCTGTCCTGCATGTTTTGCAAGTCTCCCTGTTGCAACACACCTGATTCAAATGATCAGATCATCAGCAAGCTCTGCGCAAGCCTGACATTGAACCTGTTCATTTGAATCAGGTGTGTTGCAACAGGGAGACTTGGAAAACATGCAGGACAGCGGCCCTCCAGGACCGGAGTTTGACACCCCTGGACTCTAAATGAACTGAGTTTCATTTAGACATAAGTAGTGCTTTGCCACCGGCCAGCTTGCTGCCAAGGAACGATGGTGAAGTGAGTTCAGGGTTTTCATTTTGACAAAAGAAATGCGTGGATATAATCTTACGGCATTTGAAGGCAATTACAGTACAAACCTTTTCAGAGGGTGTTGTGTATTACATACGGATTTTCACTATTCACGACAGGGCTAGGTCCCTTAAATATTTATTTACTGGTGTGCTGTGAGATTTTTCAAATCCAAACAAATTTGCCTTGGTTCAATTAAGATTGGGAAACACCATGTTAGATCATCATCATTCTATCCATGTGGACGCACCCTGCTGCGAGCCTTTATCTTCTTGTACACGTGGTCCGGAAAGGCTTTCCGGCTGATGTAGCGCCCACAGCCCTCTGTCGTGTGAAGGCTGCCGTCTTCCAGCACAACTTTACCTTGGCTGATCACCACCAGAGGACCTCCGCGCACCTCTGTGCCCTCAAATATGTTGTACTCTACAGCCTGGGGAGTAGAGGAAGCCAGGGGCAGCAGTCAAGGGCAATCTTTAGCAAAACATCCACGCATCCATTTTCTAAACTGCTTATCCTCATTTAGAGTGAGCTGGGGCCTATCCCAACTAACTGCCTCTAAACATGTGAGGTGGGGCACAAATACCAAGTTGTGGTTCTTGGCTGAGATGATCTTGGTGACATCCGGGTCCCACAAGACAAGGTCGGCGTCAGAGCCCACAGCAATGCGGCCCTTGCGAGGAAAGAGGTTGAAGATCTTGGCCGCATTTGTGCTGGTCACTGCCACAAACTGATTCTCATCCATCTTCCCAGTCACCTAGTGGGAGAT